GGGAGCCTGCCGTCACCGACCGACCGCGCCTGCAGCACAGCTTCAGCTTCGCCGGCTTCCCCAGCACTGCTGCCAGCGGGCTGCTGGACAGCCCCACTTCCATCACCCCGCCGCCCATGCTGAGTGCTGATGACCTGCTGGGCTCCCCCACCCTGCCTGACTGCGCCAGCAACCCTTTCACCTTCTCCAGCCAGGAGCTGGTCAGTCTCTTCGCCCCCAGCATGGGGGTGCAGGTGCCCAGTGGGAGCTCCCCCACCACCTTCTTGTTCAGGCCCATGTCCGAGTCCCCCAACATGTTTGACTCGCCGCCCAGTCCTCAGGACTCCCTCTCTGACCAGGAGGGCTATCTGAGCAGCTCCAGCAGCAGCCACAGCGGCTCAGATTCCCCTATCATGGACACCTCAAGACGTCTTCCCATCTTCAGCAGACTCTCCATCTCTGATGACTAATCTGGGGTTTCCTTTTGCTCCCCCCCACCTCTAGGATGATGTTAAGCTGAACTCCCCCCACCCTGTCCCCAGTAGTCCAAGCTGGATGTTAACGTGTCCACCTGCCTGCTGTAGATCCCACTGGCTTAAACCTTAAGTGCCAAATTACGATGAAAAGCAATAACGTTTACAAAATTAGTGCCTTTAACACTTTCACTGTGACTGTATTACCTCTCCAGCTGCAGAGGGCACCAGCAGCTCTGTGCACTTCCAGATGTGCAGGAAATGTCCGGACCCAGCTCCCTCCACTGGCCATGTACTGCATCGCCCCTCTCCCAGTCCTTTCCCAACTGGCCAGTTTTCGCTAGGCTGCAGGCATGTGGGCAGGCGTTAACATCCAGCCCTCTTTCTCCCCTCCCCTTAAAGACTAATCTTGCCTGGATCCGCTCAGGTCTATGGGAAGAAAAGCTGAGAGAACGGACAAAGATTGTAACTTGAGTGGGACTTCGATTGGGAGGAAGAAAACAAAACGAAAAAGAAAACAAACCAGATGGACTATGAGAGACTTGATTTTGGTGCTAAAAGTTCCCCGTGTATCCATGTGACATCTTAAAACAAATAAAGAAATAGAGGGGGTGGGGCTGACGGAAGTCATTCCACACACACACAAAAGTTCGTGTAAACAAAGTTCCAGTAGACATAGCTTTAATGGTTTTGCTCTAGAGTACTTTAGACCTATCTTAGAGCACTCACGCCAAGCTTTTTATTATTTTTTTCTCCTGGGTTTTTAATTTTGTATAACTTTTCAGAAATTGGAGAGCAAATTTTGCTTGTCACTGCACAACAATATAAAAAAGCTTATTTAACTTATCAAAACGTATTTATTGCCGAAACCTATGCTTTTTTGTTAATTTTGTTCATATTTATCGGGATGATGAATCCATAGAATATATTCTTTTATGTTTAAATTATGATCTTCCATATTAATCTTAAGATTGTGAAGTGTCTTTTTCCTTTTTTCCCCACAGTTTAATATATTATACTACAATGACATTTTTTGTAACTTTACACTTTTTTGGTTATTTTATTTTAAAAAATGAAAAATTAATTTAAAAAAATGCAAAAACTGTGTTTGGATTATTTATTTTAGAATTCCCCCCTCCTTTTTTTTTGTGTTGGACTGCAAATTGAGTTAATGTGCTTCTTTACTTTTCTTCTTCTCCTCTTCTCCCCCTCCCCTGGGTCTTGCCTACCTGGGCTTTAGAATGTACATACCTGAGCTGTGTTGCGAGACAGCATGGAAGGAAGACCTTTTTCTTCCTCTTTTTGTATAGATTCTTCAAGGAGAAAAGCCTTGGGCTCAAAGTGCCTATTTGAAGACATTCCAAATACAGTTTGTCTTTGCGTTTCTGTATTCCAAGTTTGGAGTTTTCCTTGCCAAGGTGAACGGGACTGGCACAAAGAGAATAATGAATGTAATTTTTTTTCCCCTGTTACTGTTCACTACATTGCTTTTTCTTCCTCTTTGTGTGAGTTTATTTAAAAGAGAATCTCTTTTGTAACGACTGTTTGCAGTTTAAATCAATAAACCCCAAGTTTTTTCAAGAAACTGACAGTGGAGCTGGTTTTACTTGCAAAAATCAAAGGGCTGATTTTAGACAACCACTCAAATGCAGATGCTTCCCTCCTCTTGACCCTTGAGGTGTCCACCATGTGCTCATGCACTCCTCCATTCCTCACTGATGTAAGCACATGGGTGCACAGATCAATGTCAGTGAACACCTGATGTGACCTGGGTGGCTTCTAACCCTCTCTGTCTCTTGTGGAGTCCTCCTCCCATCTTGAGTCCCTTGGTCTGTTCCTGCAAACTTCTTTCCAATCCGTGTAGCTTAAACCTTGGATTGGCTTTTGTTCCTTCTGTGAGGCTGGGCCCCTTGCCCCTCACAGAGAGCCTATGTGTGGTTTGAGTGAGGCTCAAGTGGGATGTGGAAGTGGTACAGATCTCCCAAATCGCAGGCCTGGCTTCTAACTGGTAACGGTTTGCTTTGGTGGAGCGGCTGTTTGGTGTGTTGCATGGGAGAGGAACATGGACCCTCAGCAAAGTCTTTGTACATAACAGATCATCTTGCTATCGCATTCAAGCCCTCATACCCCTTAAAGTATCAGTTGGCAATCTCAGAATGTTCTGAAGCCAGTGGTTTTGTTTAGGGACACTTCTTCGCCAGCACTGTTCATGGTGTAAGTCTTGTGTTTTCACCTTTGAGCTCTCTGGAGCAAGCTTGGCATGCTTCTTCATCTGAAACTGTTCCAGCTCTTTTCTAAATCAGGGGTGGAATTTTGCTGCTGAACCACCGATCCTTCAGCTGTCTTGACATGCCTCAACGTTCGGGAGAGACATTTTCTAACTCGTGTTGGAAAAGTTCCTGCCAAACAAAAACTGCAGGATACCTCAAGGCTTATACTGAAGTACCTTTCCTGTTGTTGGCTTTGTGCAACATGCTTTCTTGTGTGGTCTGGCAATAAAGGCAAGCTAGGTGGAGGAAAGATGGTGGAAGAGGAGCATGGCTGGTAGAAGCTGGTTCCCATGACCAGTGCAAAAGCTGCATGGGGAGTTTGCTTAGCAGATGCTGATGTAACTAGTATGCGGTGCGGTCTGTGTGCTGATCCCAGAGAGGAGAGCCCTGGGCACAGCCCCGGTACTGCTCAATGGTCTTCAGATACCTTCTGCAGACTGCAGCTTTGCCCTTGTATGCGAAGGTGGTGGGGCCCTGCGTGAGAGATGGGCTTCTGTGTGGAAGACCTGTGCCCGGCTGCAGCAAGCACCCAGACCTGCCTCCTTCCCTGCTGCTGGAGGCCGAGCCGTTGGCCCCTGAAGAGAGAGGCATATCTGATCTGGAGAGGATCCCAAGCCTATCGCAGGGTGTGCACATGGAGCTTGAAACTGCTCACTTCCTCTCTGGACTTTCTGTGCGGCTCTTCAAACAAATAGTCTTTGCCCAGTTAATAATTGATTAAGAAAATAGCTGTATAGTTGCAGGGTGCTATTGGTATGTTAAACAACTGGGAAGCTGTGCTAAAAGTAGGTCTTCACTCACAGTACTGATGTACTTCCCTTGTCCTTCTAGTGCACTGGTTCTGGGAAGCCAGCACCATTTTCTCCCTGTGAGTTTATTAATGATAAATGCTGTACCACTCAGTCTTTTGCTTTTTGGAACTAACCTTAAGCTAGGTCATGCAGGGGATAGAGAAGAGCAGGGCAGGCAGCACCAGAAGCTTACTTTCTGTAAGACAAGAGCAGGAGAGCAGGCAAGTGCCTCAAGCAATGCAGGGATTTGCCTGATCTGATACCATTAACATTTGTTGCAGCTGGGGTATATGGCAGCAGCTAGTCTGGAGGGACCTCCCCTTCCTTGGACCTTCCATAGATGAGTTCTGTGCTGTTTGTCGTAGGGTTAGCATCCATGTCCCCTAGCAGTTTGTTGTTAATAGCCTAGCCAAGGCTCAGAGAGGTAAGTAGCCTTTCCTGGCATGACGGTTTTCGGGCGCACATTCCTCTGACTTGAGAGCTCCTCCATGGCTCACTGATTTAGGGCACAGGACTCTCAGAGCGGCCAGGAAGAAAGGGCTGGCCTCTGTGCTGGTGCAGTTGCTCCTGATGTGTCTGCTGCACCAGGGCAGAGAGAAGCACCCACGAGGACAAGATACCTGTTGTCCCATGTAAGGCGGCATGGCAGAGTGTGCCTTGGTGCACTTTACAGGTTGCACTTACAACTCGTACTGTGGAGCACGGGAACACCTATGGTGGCTCTTGCTGCTCCTCATGTACTTTTTGGTATAGTCACAGATGCTTGCTGTAGGCTCCTTGTAAGAAGACTGGGTCCATGCCTCTGGGCTACAGGCATTAGCTGACACTTTTTGGCTTCAAAGACAAGTGACTCTGGTGCTATTCACCTTCAACATGTCTTTGGAAATTACAGCCAGCGTGTGTGGCTGTCTGTGCCAGGTGCCTCCTGGTAAGGAGTAACGTGATGACTTTGATCTGCAGAGCTCCAGGTGGCTCAGATCCCACTCTGGTAGCTGCCTCCCTCCTTCCTAATTCCTACAACAGCTGTAGGTCTCCCAGCGACTGTACTAGCTACTCCCTTGCTATGGGCCAGATGCGGCTTTTGTACCAAAACATCTTCAGTTCTGCAATCTGGGGCTGTAGAAACAGAGGCTGCCTCATTTCCCAAACTTCATTGTAGGTGAGGGCTGCAAAGTCAAATAGGCTGTCTTTGTTGTTGTTGCTGCTGCTGTTTCTAAAGGCAGTTGGGAACCTTACTATCTAGTTTTGGCCAACCTTTGTTTAGCATCACTTGCACATAGGCATGGTGTGCCAGATTGCAAGTTACAGAAAATACTATTTAAAAAGAACCCTGAAATGCATCCGCAGGTCCTGAGGGAATGGGCGGATGAAGTTGCTACGCCACTATCCATCATATTTGAGAAGTCGTGGCAGGCCGGCGAAGTTTCCACTGACTGAAAAAGGGGAAACATAACCCCCATTTTTAAAAAGGAAAAAAAGGAAGACCCGGGGAACGACAGGCCAGTCAGTCTCACTTCTGTGCCCAGGAAGATCATGGAGCAGATCCTCCTGGAAACTATGCAAAGGTACATGGAAAATAAGGAGGTGATTGGTGACAGCCAACATGGTTTCACTGAGGACAAATTGTGCCTGAAAAATTTGGTGGCCGCCTGCAACAGGGCTACGGCATTGTTGAGTAAGAGAAGAGCAACTGGCGTCATCTACCTGGACTTGTGCAAAGCATTTAACAGTGCCCCGCATGACATCCTCATCTCTAAATTGGAGAGACATGGATTTGATGGATTGACCACTCGGTGAATAAGGGATTGGCTGGATGGTTGCACTCAAAGAGTTGCAGTCAAGGGCTTGATGTCCAAGTGGAGACCAGTGATGGGTGGTGCTCCTCAGGAGTCGGTATTGGGACTGGCACTGTTAACATCTTTGTTGATGACATGGACTGTGGGATTGAGGGCACCTGCAGCAAGTTTTCCGACAACACCAAGCTGTGTGGTATGGTCGACATGCTGGAGGGAAGGGATGCCATCCAGAGGGACCTTGACAGGCTTGAGAGATTGGCCCATGCAAACCTCATGAAATTCAACAAGGCCAAGTGCAAGGT